GCAGAAGTCGGGCGAGTCGGCGACATAGAGTAGGTCAGCGCGACTCGGCGGCTTGAGATTGCGGACCGCGGGCAGCAGAGCCTTGCCATCGTTGGTGCCCATGACACGCGAGGCGCCGTGGAAGCGCTCGAGCAGCTCCGCGCCCACCTCTCGGAACGGGGGCAGCTTCTGCCAGCAGGTGCGCAGAGCGCATGAGCCCGACAGTCCGTGGCACTTGCATTCAGTGCGCGTGTGGCTCCGCACCGCCTGCAGGGAGCAGAGAGCAGGCGGATGGAGACAAACGTGGCGTGCGGGTCGCGGAAAGGGCCAGAGGAGCCACAGACAGAAAAAAAGCGGGGGAGGGGGAATGGAAGAGAGGAAAGAGCACACCAAACAAAAAAAAAGAGCGCAAGGTGAGGAGGAGGAAATCAAGAGTGGAGGGTAAGATGACAATGATGGAGAGGTAGAAGTGGGGAGTGGGAGAAAGAATGCAGCGCAGGGATTCTGGGATCCAAAGCCAGAGAATGGGGAGAAAGTAGAATGGACTGCGCAGGTGAGAATCTCCCTGGAGCAGGGGAGGTGGTGGTGGTAGCTGTCACCTTTTCCCTCCTGCCAACCCTCAAGGCACCAGGCAGGGCTGAGTAGAGGCGCAGAGCCCGCCCCTTGGGCGTCTGTCTCCACCATCCCTCCCCAACACTCTCTGACAGGTATGTGGGCCTGTCAGGACATACCTCTCTGGGCCCCTTCTTACCCCCTGCCCATGCCTCACTCAGCCCCAAACTCTAGAAAATACAGGATATGTGTGGGGATGCCCCGAGAGCACCTTAGAACTGAGGCAGGGGCCCACTGTGGACGCACTACTGAGACCTGGAACCTAGGCGTCCTGCCCTCTATTTGCTGTTTATGTCTAAGAGTCACAACCCCCCTAGAGATTTATGGGGCCAAAAGCCCCAGGAAGATCATCTCTGGAATCTCAGAGTCTAGGGACCAATCTGATTATAGACATTTGTGTCCCTCCCCCTCCCAGGTCTGTCCTTCCCCTTGGAGACATCTGGCCCAGACAGCTTTCTTGTCCGTAAACAAGCTCCTGGGCCTCCTCCTTGCAGAGGGAAGGGGAGAGGCTGCCCGAGTCTGGGCAGGGCCTGGTCTAGGGTTGCTGGGAGGCCAGTTGACAAGAGCCCAGATTCAGTCACAGCTTCCTGGCCTCTGCCTGACCCCCTCCTGCCTCCACCAGGATCCAGCCCATTGCCCCTTGGTCTAGCCCCTTTCCAGGCCTCCCTCACACCTCCTGGTTCCCCTACCCCAAGACCTTTGTCTCCATCCTCTTGTCCCCGCCCTGGCAGCCACATCTCTAACCACCCCAAGCTTTACCCCACCTGTCCTGTTTCAGAGGAATGCCCTCTCTAACTGGGGTCCCTAAAAGCCTCAACTGAGTCCTCTTCCCTGGGTGACCACCTGCCCCAGGCTCTCCCAGCCCCCCAACCAATCTTCCCAAGTGGCCCACCACCACCACGCTAGCTCCCACACATGTTAACACACTCCTGCACATACAAACCCTCTCTCACACCCTCACTTCTCACACACTTCCACAAAGTGCTCCTACACATTCACCACACTGTCCCACATCCACTGACACAAGCACAGGTTTCCACATTTGTGCGCACACACCCTCTCACACAGCCCTGCCCATACTCACCAGCCGGCCCGCCTCGTTGTTGTGAAGTTGCACCAACGCTCGGATGTCTCCACTTCCCCGCTTATGCCTCGCGTCCATAAAGAGCCTGGACTTCTCGTCCCCGAAGTCCACATCGTCCCCACAGCCTCCCCACTCCCAGGCTGCACTGCCCTCTGGGGAGCCCACAAGGCCAGGGGGC